AAGAGAGCCTCTACCCCCGCTGTCCAGGCCTCTTATCTTATGTGAATTCGGAAACAAGACTCACCAGCAGAAACATCACCAGCCTCCACCCTTGGCCACAAGACTGGGAGTGGGCTTCCGGGCAGGGCTGGTGGTATCACAGAAGAGGTTTCCGACCCGTAGATTGCAGTGAGTCCGTGTTGTACCGCCTTGGGTCCCGGGGCTGCAAGTCCCGCAGCCCTGACCCCCGCACATGCCCGGGAATGGTTTTCGTGTGCCAAGCACAGCAGTGACGTCCGTCCGTGCAGCTCGGCTCAGGGTTCCCGCTGGCATGCCAGCGCCCTCTGCGATGCTTCATCCTGGGGGGTGTCAGTTTCCACCTGACGCTCTCTCTGGGGGCTCCTGGGAGCCACCTGCTGCTGTTGGCGCTGTGAGTCCGAGCATCCTCCAGCCGGGACATCTGTCTGGCGCAGGGGGCTCCCAGTGAGCCTGAGCCTAGTTTCCTCCTGGCTCCCACGGGGGGCAGTGACGAGCTGGGTTTCGCTGAGTCTCATGATGACCTCATTTCCTGTCTCAGGACGCACCTCGTTCAGTCTGGGGGCGAAAAGCCCTTCAGGAAATCAGCAGACGAAGTAGGGTCTCATTTCACATTCAGAGCTCCGGGCACCTGGTCTACCTGCCTAGTCGGGGTGAGGACAGAGGAGGGTGCCCCCGTGTGAGCTTTGGGGATTAAAGGGAGGGGTGGGTACAGCTCTCAGGACACGGTCTCATGGCGTCGTAAAGTGCTCCTGGAGCGGATGCCATGGGCCTCGAGGACAGACGAGGCTGCCGAGACGAGACGAGCGGCTTCCCACATCCGCTTTCGGACAGAACTTGTGTCGCGTGCGCCTGGCGGTGCCGGGCCAGGGTCGCAAACCCGCCCTGTCGTTCTGCTCAAAGGGAGGCCCCGGTTACAATCAAGAGAGAAGGCGCAGCTTTAAACTTCTTGTACGTCAGTTTTCCAGAGGTATGAAACGCCAACACGAAAGATGAAGAAAAGAGAGAAGCCGATCCGCCGTGAAGACAGAGCACGCGTGACGTGTTTCAGTTAATTTCCTTCTCCACATCTGTAAATAACGCAGAATTCCACCGCGCCGTGGGCCTCCCGTGAGTGTTGTGAGAAGGTAAAATGTGAACGTCTCGCTTCCAGTGTGGCTGGCCGTGTGCCCACCTGGCCGGCCGTGTGCCCACCTGGCCGGCCGGAGGAGGTGCCCGCGCTGTTCACTGCCGCTGATTCCCACGTTGCCGCTTACTTCGTGGGCGCACACCTGCAGCTGAACATCCCGGCCGGGGGAAGGGGACATAAACCACCCAAAAAGCTAATTTAAACTTGCTCCGGAGCGGGGCTGCTGCGTGGCTTGACACGGTCAAAATACGGCCGGCCCCTGGGCGGCGGCCACGGCTTACCCTTTCCTTCGGCGGAGCTGACCCTTCGCGTCGTCCTCCCCCGCGGAGTCCATTCCCCCGACCCGTGGGGTCCAGGTGGAAGGAGCCAGGCTGTCTCAGCAGTGAGCATGTGGCTGGTATGTGTACGCACATGTGTGTCACGTGCACGCCCACGTGTCTTTTAAACAGACTCGCGGTCCCTTGAAGTTCTGCCGTCTGCTTTTCCAGGTAACGCGTGTTTCCTCACGACCCTGCCTATCAAAGTCATGGTTTCGATGACTAATATCTCACACACGGGGTAGATTGAATGATTTATTTCACGGTTTACGAAACCGTTTATTGATTTAATGACTTAGTTAATCATTCCCCTCCTGATGGGGTTTTAGCTTGCTCTCAGTGTGTCGCTGTCATCCGTCACGCCTGTGACGGGCGGACGTGCCCATCGGTCTCCTTCCCGGTCCCGCGGTGATTATTTCCTTAGCGGGCTTCCTGGGGGGGGGGCGTCCCCGGGCTGCACAGCCACCGGTGAGGGTCCGACCGCTCAGCCTCCTGAGCGCCCGGTGTCGATGGCCCCCTCCTCAGTGTGCGCCGCTCCGGGCGGGGCAGGAAGAGCACCTGTACTGTCCCCGGGATGCCGCACCTGCCGCAGGCTACAAGCTGATGCGTGAGCAGTCCGTCCAGTTGGATGAACAGTCAGAGGACTGGACAGGAATTACTCTCCCCTCCAGTGACGAACCCAACATGGGTCTGGCGATGCCGACGATGCCTTGGAACTTGCTTTCTTTTATTCTTCTACAGCTTTGAGGAGATGTTATGGACACAGCAGAAGTGCATATACTTCAGGTGTACAGTGGGATGTTTTGATATATACACATAAGGAAGTGATCGCCACAATCAAGCTAATGAACGTGTTTATCACCTCTGAATAGATACCATTGCGTGTGCGTGTGCGTGTGCGTGTGCATGTGTATGCATGTGTATGTGTGTGTGTGTGTGTGTGTGTGTGTGGTGAAGATTTAATTTAAAATCTATCTTCCTTGTCTGGCTGGTGTGGCTCAGTGGTTGAGTGTCGACCCTGCACCAAGAGGTCACCGGTTCGATTCCCGGTCAGGGCACATGCCCAGGTTGTGGGTCCGATCCCCAGTGGGGGGCATGCAGGAGGCGGCCAATCAGTGTTCTCTCTCATCGATGTTTCTCTCTGTCTCTCCCTCTCCCTTCCTTCCTCTCTAAAATCAATAAAGGAAAAACAATTAAAAAATTGATCTTTCTAGCAAACGACAGGACACAACACAGGATTGTTGGCTACGCCACGTCGCAGTATATTACAGCTCCAGAAGTTACGGGTCTTCCGTGAGCAAACCTTTGAGAGCTTGTTGAAGGTTCTAGCAGGGGCGCACAGCTACTCATATACCGTTGACCGAAGACCGGTCCTCTCCTCTGGGGGGAAGGTCGTCCTCTTTGACCGAGCGTGCAGCTTCGGGAGGGACGCACATGGATTGGTTGAGGGAGGAGGGGGACACCCGCCTAGCCAGCCAGATCAGCCAAATCAACCCTGGCGATCAATGGGGTGACAGATGTTGCACCCAGATTGCCCTCACATCCTCGTGACCAAAACTTTGTATCCTTTTTTTTTAATCCTCACCCGAGGACATTTCTGCATAGAGTGAGAGGAAGAGAGAGAAACATCAATGTGAGAGAGAAACATCAATGTGAGAGGGACACATTGAGTGGCTGCCACCCGCACGACCCCAACCGGGACCAGAGACAAACTGCAATCGAGGTACATGCCCTTAGCGGGAATCGAACCTGGGACTCTCTGGTCTGTGGGCCGACGCTCTAACCGCTGAGCCAAACTGGCTGAGGCAAAACTTTGTATCCTTTGACCAGCATCACCTCATCCTCCCTGCTCAGCCCCCAGCAGGCACCGCCGCACCCTCTGCTTCTGTGAATTTCGCATTTTCGATTCTGCTAGTAAGTGGGACCGTGCAGTCTTACCAGGGGAACCAACCTTCCGCACACCCTTGGGGAGAAAGGATCCATCCATCTCTGTGTGCTGTCTCTTCTTCACAATCTTCTGGTTACAATTGTGTCATCCTCTAGGGAAAGAAAATTCACCAAGGACAACGCTGAAAAGGCCCTAAATATTTAAATCCACAGAAAACGGTATTTTTGCAGAATTTGTAAGAGCCGCAGGAAATATGTTATTCTACCGACTAGCTCCTTAATCCGAACAAAACCCCAGCGAGGTGACTTGTTCAGAGTTACTCGGTTCTCTGGCCACAGCAAATCTACTTAAATTAAAAAAATTTTTTCAATTACAGTTGACATCTAATATTAGATTAGTTTCAGGTGCACAGCATCGTGGTTAGACATTTATGGAACTTACAAAGTGAGCCCCTGGCTTACACCCACCTGAGGCCATACACAGTCACTGCCATGTTGTTGGCTGTGTTTCCTAAGCTGACCTTTACATTCCCCCCGATCGTCCTGTAATGACCCGCCTGTGCCTTTGAATCCCTTCACCCCTCTCATCCTGCCCACCACCCACCTGGCAACCATCAGTTTGTTCGGTGTCCAGGAGTTTGCTCTGTTTTGTTTGCTCGTTTATTGTGTGTGTGTGTGTGTGTTTAGATTCCGCACATAAGCAAAAGCATATGGTATTTTTTTTCCAATCTTCTCCCGAGGACATTTCTGCATTTATCCTCACATAGCGCAGGAGGGAGAGAGGGAGGAAGAGAGAGAGAGAAACATTGACATGAGGGAGACACATTGAGGGGTTGCCGCCCACACAGTACCAATCAGGGCCGGGGACAAACTGCAACTGAGGTACATGCCCTTAGTGGGAATTCAACCTGGGACTCTGTGGTCCATGGGCCGATGCTCTAACCGCTGAGCCAATAACCAGGGCAGCATATGGTACTTGTCCTTCTGTCTTTTCACTTAGTATGATACCCTCTAGGGTCTAGGTTCATCCATGCTGTCGCAAACGGTAAAAGTTCATTCTTTTTCATGGCCGACTAATATTCCATTGTATATATATGCTTGCCCCTTCTTCATCCACTCGTCTTTTGATTGGAGGATTTAATCCATTTACAGGTAAAGTAATTACTGATAAGTACGTAGTTGTTGCCATTTTATTCACTGTTTGTTGCATTCTCTGTTCCTTTCGTCTTGTGTGTTGATGACTGTGTAGTGTTGTCGACTGTGTAGTGTTGTCTGGTTCCTTTCTCTTTATTTCTTGTATCTCTCTCGCAGATTGGTGGTTTGTGGCTCCTGTATGTTCCCTACACACCGAGCGAGGTCATAGTGTCTATCTGAAGTTGATAGTTGCTTACGTTCAAACACGTTCTAAAATCACGACCATTTTCACTCACCCCTCCGCGTCTATGGTCTTGTCGCTGGTCTTGACCTCTTTTTGGTGCAGTCGTCTGCTGTTAAGTTGGGTTGCATTAGAAACTGCGGCAGTGAACATCCTTGAAGATAAACCCTCGTGCATTTGCGCTCGTGTTTGGGAAGGAGGAATTTATGGACGTGGGACTGTGGAGAGGTCCCAGTGTCCAAGCAGACGTGACCTACAGGAGGGATGAAGTTCGGACATGACACGTACCGTGGGGCGATGCCTGGTCGTCTGGTGGGCGGGGTGGGGTGCCAGCTACTCTCTGGAGTGATCACTGTAGAGATGCCCATGATCCTCTGGGTCCTAGGCTTTGCAAGAACGGGAGGAGGTGATGTTGTCCTTCCAGGGGGCGCCACTGTTCCCCTGTGGTCCAGCCACAGGACCACTGGATCAGTGGTAAATGGGGCTCCTCCCGTTCTGCCCTGGGTGCTCTGGAAGATCCCCGAGACACCCTTCCTGTCCTTTGAGGACTTGTGCTGTGCTGGGACCTGGGGTGGTGGGGGATTCTTTCTTCCCCCACCGGGACACAGCTTTTATTCTCCCTCTCCTGTCCCTTGTCGCGCAGGGACGGCGAGTCGCGGAATCCCGGACAGCCTGCAGCGGTTTTCCTCGCTGCCCGCGTACCTCCCCGCCAGCTTCCACATCGCGGGTGCGGACCAGTCCTTCTTCCTGAAGGAGGCCAACCAGGACGTCACGAGGAACTCCAGCCTGCAGGCCCGCGTGGAGCCCTTCTTCGTGTACCGGGCCCGCTCGGCCCCGGCCGTCAACGCCAGCTACGGCCCGTTCTCGGCCGCGGAGACCGTCCCGCGGGAGCTGCTGCTGCCCTCGGCCGCCTTCGCCGGCGCGGGCGGGTTTCCCTTCAACTGGAAGCTGAAGTCCCACATCCTCAACAGCGCCATCTACTCCAACAGGCCCAAGGTGCAGACGCTGTTCTACGTCTCCGGCATGGACTGGCAGGACCGCGGCCCCGCCGAGGACCTGCCCTGCGTCAAGATGTTCGCCTTCCCGGAGGCCCGGGAGGTGGCGGCCAGCTGTCGCCTGCGAGGGGACCCGGGGCTGTGCGTGGCCGAGCTGGAGCTGCTGCCCGAGTGGTTCAGCTCGGGGCTGGACCTGGAGCCGGAGGAGGAGATCCCGGCCCTGCTGGGGGGCACCGCCATGGAGCTGTTCTTCACGCTGTACCCGGCGGGCCCGGCCGGCCAGTGTCCCCTGGAGGAGGACAGCAAGTGGGCCAACAACATCCACTCGGGCCCGGAGGGGCCCCTGCCGGCGGCCCCCGCCCGCGAGCGCATAGGCAGCGTGGTGGTCTACCCGACGCAGGACGACCTCCGGTGGTCCCTGCTGAGCCTGGACAAGAACGTCGTCATCTCCGTGCCGCTGAACCTCATCCGCGAAGGGCGCACGGCCACCTTCGTGGTGTCCCTGGCCAGCGGCTCCGTGGCCGACCACTTCGCCCTCAGGTGAGCGGCTTGCGGGCTGGGTGGGGCGCAGGCCACCTGGGCCGTCGCGGCCCGTTCGTCACTGAGCGGTGCCCGATCGTATGCTGAGTGCGCAGCACGGCGCGGACACGCAGACTCCGTGACATGCGCGTGGGGAGCCAGACGGCGCTGAGCAGCATGTTTGGGGATGGGCATCTGTGTTCTACATACATGAGCGAGCCTTGGCCAGTGTGGCTCAGCGGTTAGAGCGTCGGCCCGCGGGCCAGAGAGTCCCGGGCTCAGTTCCCGCTGAGGGCACGGACCTCGGTTGCAGTTTGTCCCCGGCCCTGGTTGGGGTCGTGTGTGTGGCAACCACTCGATGTGTCCCTTTCACGTCGATGTTTCTCTTTCTCTCTCCCTCCTGCTCTATCTGAAGATAAATGCAAAAATGTCCTCGGGTGAGGATAAATAATAAAGAAATGAATAAATACACGAGCGAGTGTTGGGGGCCGGGCCTCGGGCCTCTGGGTGTTCCCGGGAAGGAAAAGCCCAGGCTACAGCGGCCCAGCGGTCTCTCTGGTGAGTCTCAGCTGAGGGTTGCAGCGTGGGGAACCTCTCGGGTGGGGGACAGGCCTGTCCTGAGATCACAGAGCTTCCTCACGAGCAGGAGGAGGTGGCCATGGCTGCCCCACACCCCAGCTGTGTGCCCTGGGGCAAGTCGCCTAACCCCTCTGGGCCTCAGTCTCCTCGCCGGGGGGATGGGGATCACGTCGGGCTCTGTCTCCGGGGCCGCGTGAGGATTACAGGAACGGGTCAGGGGAGCGCTCACAAACGCTGGCCTCCGTGTTTCCCTGGCGCTCGGGCCAAGGTCAGCTGCTGTGCTGGGTGCAGGTGAGAAGTGGGAGCTGGTCGTGCGCCCGGGGTGGCCCCTCTGATTGTGACCGAGGCCGCTGTCCCAGGTCACCCTCGTTGGGAGGTCTGCGTCTTCAGAGCCCGCCAGCAGGATCCCACGCTCTGGCGGATCCCACGCTCTGGCGGATCCCACGCTCTGGCGGATCTCACGCGGGCTTTGAGGCCTGTAGCAAGTGGGTAGCTGGGGCTCTGTGTGATTGGGGACCTGGTGTGGTCCCAGCCTGCACTTGTCCCTCCAGGGTGGGGTGGGGTTGTTGAAAACCTTGCTCTACAGAGATGCCTTTTTTAAAAAAATGTTTTTTCCCTTTATTGATTTGAGAGAGAGAGGAAGGGAGAAGGAGAGAAAGAGAGAGAGAGAGAAACATCAATGAGAGAGAACATCGACCGGCCACCTCCTGCATGCCCCCCACTGGGGATCGGGCCCACAACCTGAGCATGTGCCCTCACCGGGAATTGAACCGGTGACCTCTTGGTGCAGGGTTGACTCTTAACCAGTGAACTACACTGGCCGGGCCAGACATGCCTTTAACACAAGGCGGTGGACGTATGGAAGGTCTCCCACGGGTGACACGAGGCGGTGGACGTGTGGAAGGTCTCCCACGGGTGACACGAGGCAGTGGACGCATGGAAGGTCTCCCACGGGTGTCTCTGGGGTCTCAGCCAAGGCTTTCTAATGCATCCTCCATTGCAGAGACCCCTGTGTCCCTCACTGCCCAGATTTCTCTTTCCTTCTGGTGGCCGTGGTCTCTCCTCTGGTGGCCAGGCCCTCCTGTGTGTCGGTCCGCCTGTCCATCGTGGTGTCTGCTGGCTAACTGCAGTCGTGCGCCGGCAGAGAAAATGGAGAGACGGAAGGGGCCATTGCGGTCCGAGTGAGATGTAAGAAGGAACGGCTATTTTCAACCCCGCGTGCGGAAAGAAACTCAATTTGGGGAGGTTCATGTTGCGGAAAAACGTCGAGAGTTAAATTTCATTCTGCAGCGGGGCCGGATGGCACAGCCACAGCCCATAGATCAGATGTAACGTTCCCGTCCCCGAGCAGGCTAACAAAGCCCCTAACAGGAGTCGCTGACCATCGGAACCGCAGACCCAGTGGCAGAAAGACTTTATTGATTCGCCATCTGTATGTAAATCCTGCTATTATGGAAATCGTGTCAGAGTGCGAGGCAGCTGGAGAACGCACAGCGCGCGGTAATAGTTGAGCCGGGTACCGGAGAAAAGCCACTTCTGTGGGCGTGTGCGCGTATAAATAATCCAGCTCATTGCAGCTCCCTGCAGGAACGGCATCTCAGCTCGGGATCGAACCTGCGGTCGCCGCGCACGGGCTCATTTCGATATGCAGCAGTCACTCAGAGACGGGCGCCCGCGCTGGGCTCTCCCGGGCAGAGGCGTGCCCATGGCCGCCTTGTCATTAGCTGAGTCCGGTGCCATTCCATCCTTTAGTGACTGCTCGGGTGGCCATCAAGGGACCGTTTCATGGCTAAAGGACGAACATTTTTGGAGTTAATTATAGCTCGTCACGGACGAGAGGAAGGCCTCTTGGTTCCTGGTCCTGAAAGAGACCCCCACGGATGCGGAGGATCTGAACGTGGACCTGGGGATGGGACGTGGCGATGAGCGCGTCCCGGGGCAGGGGAGCGGGCCTGGCGGGGGCCGGCCAGCGGCGAGGAGCAGCCTCCGCCTCATGCGCCCGTGGGGACGCGATGGGGCCAGAGATCCTGGGCGCTTCGGTGACACCTGGCGCACAGATGACATCACCTTCTCTGCCCCCGGGAGCTGGCTCTGGAGGGACTTTTGCCTTGAAACTCACCTTAGATGCCGCCTGAACTCAGCCTGCACCTTACGCTCTGGGAGCCGAGGGGCAGGGCGTGGATTTCTGCTACATTTACAGAGCTGGGCTCCTGCTACGTTCCCGGTCACGTCTGCCTGTGAGCCAGCCCCTTGGTTGGGTCACATGGTTCCTTTGGGGACAAGCGCCGCGTCCTCCTGGACATGCATACCAGTTCCTGAGGCCGAGGACGCAGGCAGCTCTGCGGAACCACCTGGCCGCGAGTGGGTGGCTCCCACGGAGGTCCGGGTGCGGAGTCCGCTGAGCCCCCGTGCTGAGCAGACCTCACTGGCCCTGCTGGCCGTCTGCGGGCGAGACGACAGGGTCCCAACCGTTGTTGGGCCCATGGTCACAGCAGCTTTCCTGCTCTCTCCGTCCATCCCCGAAGCATTTGGCACCAGAGGGTGGTTCTCGGCGTCACCAGCATGGCGAACACTGCACGGTGCTTACGGTGCGCCAGGCTCTGTGCCGGGCACTGTGCGGGCTGCCTCCGCCTGCTCCTGCCATGGCACGGGGAGGCAGGCCCCGTATCACAGCCCCGCCTCCAGGCAAAGGCGCAGAGAGGTTCAGCGACTTTCCAAGGTCGTATAGCTGGAGTCTGGCTTTTCAGCCAGAAATGTCGCTTCCAAGTCTGTGGTCATTTCACTCGTCTGTCTGTCTGTCTGTCTCCTAGGACCGCCCATTTCTCCTGCCTATAACGGGTGGTTCACACCTGACCTGTGACGACCGGTGAAGGGGCTGAAATCAGAGGAAGCCTCCTCAGTCACGTTTTGAATCCATAACATTATAGCATAAAGTTGACAGCCTGAAACATCACCCCGGTCGTTTCTCGCAGCTTCTCTGGGTCAGGGGTCCAGGCACCGCTCGCCGGGTCCTCTGCTCGGGGTCTCGCCGGCTGAGATCCAGGCGCCAGCGGGACTGTGCTCTCGTCCGAGACCCGGCTGGGGAAGGGTCTGGCTCCAAGCTCACGCGTGTGGTTGGCACCGCGCGTCCCCTCGGTGGTACAGGCTCAGGGCCCTGGGGTTTTCCTGGCTGCTGGTTGGAGGCTGCCCTGAGCTCCTGGAGGCCACCCTCGGCTCCCTGCCACACGGGTCTCCCCACATGGCCGTTGACCCCCTCGAAGATGCCAGGAGGGACACTCTCTAGAGGGCCTCTGCTCACCAGGTGGAGTCTTACCTGATGCCCTGGATCCCTGGAGTAACTTTCCATCACTGTTACCATTTCTGCTGCCAGACGCCAGTCACGGGTCTGCCCACGCTCCGTGGGAAGGGTCAGCAAAGCTGTGGGCGCCAGGAGTCGGGGGTCACAGTGGACCACCCTGGCGGACTGCCAAATAAGCGGCGATAGGACACGCTCTGGGCTTCCCCTCCGGTGCCGGCCGCTTCAGGGACACGGGCCTTGCCCCTCCCCTCTCGCCGTTGTTCTCCGTTTTTGTTTGATTTTTGTCTTTGTCCCCGTAGAAAAGGTGTCCTGTTCCCCTCCCCAGCTCACGTCCACCCGGAGCGTAGACTGTGGCCGCGTTTGGAAGGAGGATCATTGCAGGGCTGATTCGTTGTCATGAGGTCCCACTGGAGCAGGGCCGGCCCCAAACCCGGGGACCTGCGCCCTGGAGGGGAGAGGAGCCGCACAGGAGGACACGAGGCGAAGGCAGAGGCCGGTTACTGGGGCGCTGCGTCTGCACGCCGAGGGCTCCCACCAGAAGCGGGGAGCGAGGCATGGACAGACTGCCCCCCAAGCGTCCACAGCAGCCAGCGACACCCGGGCGGCAGACGCGGCCTCCAGAGCTGAGAGGGAACCAGTCCTGCTGTTGGCAGACTCCCGGTTTGGGGCAGCCTGTTCCAGCAGCCCCAGGGCACGAAGCCGACGTGGGGGAGCGGGCCCAACGGGTTTGGGGGGTACACTCTTGTAGAAGGCGTGGTGGTTGAAGCTGACCTGGTGCCCTCGAGCCCGGAGTCGGGAAGACATGGTTGCACGCGGGCGCCACCGTTTGGTTGGGGACTTCGTGATGACAATGTCCCCGGAAGCCTGGAGAGCAGGCTGAGGACCAGCCCGGCTTCACGGGCGGAATGAGCGTCCTGCGGAGGGGCCGCCGGCACGGCCGCGCAGAGCTGCCTTGGCCCGAGCGGGGGAGATTTCTAGGCTGCAGAAGCTGTCTCGCCGCTCATTCTCGTCCACGGTCCTCTCTGGCTCTGCGATCCACCCGGCTGACAGCTAGCGGTGTCCCCGGAGGTCCAGACAGACACCGAACGACCGACTCAAGACGCCTGGCGTGGAAACGGGAACAGTGGAGCCATTGTTTTGCCCGTGAAAACGGTACATTCCTGATTGGCCAGAGCCATCCACACGGTTTGCTGGTACCTGACTCCCGGAAGAGGAGATTGAACCCCGAGACGAGAGAGGGGGGTCTCCCCACGGCACTCCACACGCCTCGCTTCCAGAACGTTCTCCCTGTGCAGGGAAAGTCCTCCGGGCACGTCTCTGTCCTCGGAGCTGAAAGTCCAGCACGGGTGGTCTGTCCCGACGGCTCCTGCTCTTTCGGATTCAGAGACCAGAGTATCTGTCCTCCGTGTCCAGGTCGTCAGGGGCCCCGCCTGTGGCCATCTGCGCAGGCCCAGGGTGGTGGGCTCCTCCCCGGCTGCCCCCGGCCCCGGCCTCTCTTCCCGTTCACACCGTGGTCTGAAGGCAGCTCTCCGCAGAGCCGGGCCGCACCAGCCCCCAGGTGCCCCTGGAGGTGCCCACTCCGCTCCCCCTGGTGAACATGGCAGAGGTGGTTCTGCAGGAGAACGCGCCTTTGAAGGATCTGGACACGTCCCGGATCACACCCAGGGCTGGGCCTGTCTCAGGAAGTGTGTCCGACCCCAGGCGTCCCCTGGCACTGTGGTCCTTGACAGAAGGTGGTCATCTGACACAGGTCACCATCACTCATCGGAACGGCGGCTCGCTCGGAAAGTCTCGGCCCGACCGAGTGGCTCACAGCCTCCGAAGGCCGGTCCAGGTGGTGAGCCAGCCGCACAGGTGGTTCTCAGGCGTGTGTAAGAGGACCCGCTGGTCCACGGGCTCGAACCCTGCCACCTGCCGCTCTCGCGTCCCCCCGGGCGTCCCCCACCCTCGGGGTCAGACATCGAGGGAGCACTCAGAGCCCGCGTCCAACACCAGAGCCTCTCGTTCGCCAGAACCGCAGGTGAAGCGGGAAGCACACGAACCCCGCTTCCCCGGCGCTGAGCCCCGGCGGGGCAGCCGGGCAGGGAAGCCAGGTGTGCGGGTGCCAGTGCTCTGGCTCCGACCGGGTGGCCCTACCTGGAGGAGGGGAGGGAGGGGGCCCGTGGGTGTCGGGGCAGGGGGGGCCTTCCAGGCAGAGGGAACAGCGTGGCCAAAGGTTCAGGGGCAGGAATCCTGTGCTGTTTTCAGAACCGCGAGGAAGCCAGTCCCCACGACAGACAACCCTCGCGTGTTTTCACACACGTCGAATAAGCCTCTTCGTGAGCGCGGCCGCCGAAACCCCCGGAGGGCCGCGGGGAGCTGGTCTCTCACCTGAGGGCGTTGGAAGACGAGGGTGGCAGAGCTCATAGGCGGCAGGGCGCCCCGGGGAGCTTGGGGGGCCTTCTGCCTGGGACGCAAAGGCAGGTGGCGGCAGCTGTTTTGTTCTCCCGTTAGACGCGGCCTCGGCTGGGCGGAGCACGCGTCGCCCGTCGGCACACGGTGGTGGCCGCCGATTTTCTGCCACTGAGCAAATGTCGTGTTTTTCATTTCATGTCGACATTTCCAGCGGGAGCCCCCAAAGGACCAACTTAGCAGAAGGAGCGAGGGCCTCCCCAGTTCCCCAAGGGCCTCGCCAGCCATCGCTACTCAGGCCCTCCTTGGAGCACCTCCGTTCGCTTAGTAACTGGCGATAAGGAGCTCTTGGGGCGGCGGGGACCCCGCCGCGTCCTCCTCCTCAGCAGCTGCCGGCATCTGGCCTCCTCCAGAGCGCAAGACTCGGCTCTGTGAGGCGGCTCTGCGTTCACGGTGTCTCTGAGGCTCAGTCGGTGCCGCTGTCCCAGGGCCAAGTGTGGACGGGCACACATTTGTAACGGCCAAGTTCTTATCTGTCCAGGTTCTCTGCCAATGGACCCTGCTCTCTGAAACCCCGTGGCGAAGAATTCAGGTGACAAGTATTTGTGTGACCCAGACCCTGTGGGAATAGAACTGTAAGGCATGTGTGTATCAGAAAGTAGTTGTTACATGAGTGAGCCAATGAAGGTGCTTGGATGCGGGCCCCTGTGTTTGCATTTAATAAGATGGCCTTAGGACAGGCAGTGAAGTCAGGGCTTGGGGACAACCTGAGTCTGGGACTCAGAACTCTCTGTCCTGGGCCGGGAGGTGGTGTCTTTATAGGTCTCCTTCTTGGGTTTTTTTAATCCTCCCCTGAGGATAATTTTTTCCTATTTATCATCAGATAGAGTGGGAGGGAAGGAGAGGGACAGAGAGAGAGAGGTAGAGAGAGAACCATCGACGTGAGAGGGACACATCAACTGGTTGCCTCCCGCATGACCCCAACCAGGGCCGGGGACGAACCACAACTGAGGTACGTACCCTCGACTGGAAATGAACCCGTGACTCATTGGTCCCCAGGCCGATGCTCTAACCATTGAGCCAAACTGACCAGGGTCTTCTTTGGGTCTTAAAGATGTTTTTACTTTGGCCCACACCAGTTTGGCTCAGTTGTCAGAGCGTTGGCCCAAGGACGGAAGAATTGTGGGTTCAATTCCCAGTCGAGGGCACGTACCTCTGTTGCAGGTTCGGTCCCCGGCCCTGGTTGAGATCATGCAGGAGGCAACCAATCGATCTGTCTTTCTTACTGATGTTTCTCTCTGTCTTTCCCTTCCTCTCTCCCACTCTAAGAAGCAATGGAAAAAATATCCTTAGGTGAGGATTTAAAAATTTTTTAAAAACGTTTGAGAAATCCTTTTTTTTTTTTTTTAAAGTTTCAACCACTCCAGGGAAGGGCCACTCACCTGTCCCATTTCCAAGTGAATAACTCAGCGGCATTTAGCACATTCACGATGTTATGCAAACGCCACCAAAACATTCTTGTCACCCCAGGGGGAAAGCCCGTACCTGCTACTTGGGCCGTCTCTCTCTGTTCTCCTCCACCCTCACCTCCCAGCAGCACCAATGTGCTGTCTCCCTGGTTCACCTTCTGGATGTTTTATATCAAGCGATTCACACACTCTGTGGCCTCTGTGTCTGGCTTCCCTCACTCAGTATCGTGTTGTCGAGGTTCATCCACTTTGTAGCACGTGTTAGCTTCATCCCTGTTCATGGCTGAGTAATATTCCACTGGATGGACGGACCGTGTTTTCTTTATCCATTGATCAAATGCTGAGCACCTGGGTTGTTTCCCCCTTGTGGCTACTATAAACAGTGCTGCTATGAGCACGCTCAGATCTCTGAGTACCTGCTCTTCCTGCTTCAGGGTTTAAATCTCGAGAAGGAATTGCTGAGTCTTGGTACCTACGTTTCACATCTGAGTGACTGCCAGACTTTTCCCAGGCAGCTGCCCATGTTGCATTCCCACTAGCCCTGTACGGGGGTCCTTGCATTCTTCCTTGGGGAACCGAGCTCTGCAAACCGGGCACCAGGCAGTCCCTGGCCTCCTTGTTCTGCCGGAAGGCTGTGTTTCTTCTCCGGAGGCCTGTGTGTTCCTTCTCCTGGCACGGTCACTACAGCCTCCTCCTCGGTCCCCTGGGTGGGGCAGCCTGCTAGGCTTCCACGGCCCCCACGGAAGCCTGCCTGCCGGGGACCTTTCCCACCTCCAGGTGCAGAGCAGGCCCGCGGATGCTGCCCCTCCTGCCTGGTACACCTGTCACTCCCATCACAGGTGGTCCTGAAGCAGAAAGCGACCCACTTCCCAGTGCACCCGCCCACGAACAGAAGCGAGTGTGTGCGGGGACCCCGTGAAGATCACAGGACACTTAGCTGTCAGGGGGAAGACACTTACTGCCAGTGTTCCCTGTGTCTTCCAGAGGAGAGGGCGCCTCTGCCCCAGTGACCCACTTTTGCTACCTGTTTCCAACTAACGCGGACGTGTGTCTTTTCCCACCCGCAGAATCAAGGCAGCCGCCGGGGTGAAAATCGTGGCGGTGAGGGTCAGCAGCGGAGAGCAGTGGGCCGTGCAGGAGGACGTGGACAACGGCGGCGTGCAGACCACCGCCACCCTCACCTGTGTGGGCCGCCACCTGGACACGCAGGGCAGGTGAGCGCCGGGGCGGGCGGCCGCAGGGGGGCAGCGGTGCCTCCTTTGAGGACGGACGTCCCCCCTGAGCTCAGCAGCTCAGCCCCGGGGGCCCCGCCCGGGATCTGCGCCCGGTGAGGTTTGGTTCTTTACGCGTTTGACGCTCCAGCGACCCGACGCGCGGCAGACTCAGGAACGACCTGAGCTCCCACTTGTCACAGTGCCGGGCTGGATGACCACAGTTCGAGAAGTTGTTGTTGTTGTTGTTGGTGGCCGTGTGGAGTTGAAGAACGACGCGGGGGAAATAAACGCTTTGAGAGGCGAGGGGCGGGTCCCTTTATGAGCACGCTGGGGGGCGGGTCCCTTTTATGAGCACGCTGGGGGGCGGGTCCCTTTTATGAGCACGCTGGGGGCGGGTCTCTTTATGAGCACGCTGGGGGCGGGTCCCTTTATGAGCACGCTGGGGGGCGGGTCCCTTTTATGAGCACGCTGGGGGGCGGGTCCCTTTTATGAGCACGCTGGGGGGCGGGTCCCTTTAAGAGCACGCTGGGGGCGGGTCTCTTTTTATGAGCACGCTGGGGGCGGGTCCCTTTATGAGCACGCTGGGGGCGGGTCCCTTTTTATGAGCACGCTGGGGGCGGGTCCCTTTTTATGAGCACGCTGGGGCGGGTCCTTTTATGAGCACGCTGGGGGCGGGTCCCTTTCTGAGCACGCTGGGCGGGTCCCTTTCTGAGCACGCTGGGGGCGGGTCCCTTTCTGAGCACGCTGGGGGCGGGTCCTTTCTGGGCACGCTGGGGCGGGTCCCTTTCTGAGCACGCTGGGGGCGGGTCCCTTTCTGAGCACGCTGGGGGCGGGTCCCTTCTGAGCACGCTGGGGGCGGGTCCTTTCTGAGCACGCTGGGGCGGGTCCCTTTCTGAGCAGGCTGGGGGCGGGTCCCTTTATGAGCACGCTGGGGGCGGGTCCCTTTTATGAGCACGCTGGGGGCGGGTCCCTTTATGAGCACGCTGGGGGCGGGTCCCTTTTATGAGCACGCTGGGGGCGGGTCCTTTTATGAGCACGCTGGGGGCGGGTCCCTTTCTGAGCACGCTGGGGGCGGGTCCTTTCTGAGCACGCTGGGGGAGGGTCCTTTCTGAGCACGCTGGGGGCGGGTCCCCTTTCTGAGCACGCTGGGGGCGGGTCCCTTTCTGAGCACGCTGGGGGCGGGTCCCTTTCTGAGCACGCTGGGGGCGGGTCCTTTCTGAGCACGCTGGGGGCGGGTCCCTTTCTGAGCACGCTGGGGGCGGGTCCCTTTCTGAGCACGCTGGGGGCGGGTCCCTTTCTGAGCACGCTGGGGGCGGGTCCCTTTCTGAGCACGCTGGGGGTGGCTGCAGCTGCTGAGTCACAGCACTGGTGCTTCGATGCAGTGGTTTTACGCTGGGGACGGGTCCCTTTCTGAGCACGCTGGGGGCGGGTCCCTTTCTGAGCACGCTGGGGGCGGGTCCCTTTCTGAGCACGCTGGGGGCAGGTCCCTTTCTGAGCACGCTGGGGGTGGCTGCAGCTGCTGAGTCACAGCACTGGTGCTTCGATGCAGTGGTTTTGCTGACGGCACACCTGGGTGCTGGCACCTGGCTTCAGAGGGTTGCTGGGTGAACTCGCATGGGCAGCCTGCCCGTCTCTTCTCCAGGCTTGGGTTTTATGGGCTGAGCGGGCCTGGGGGAGGGGGCAGAGGGCGCATGTTGCTAGTCCCCGTGCACCAGGACACCCAGCAGGCAGAAACAGCTCTCACCCCCTCGCCCCAGAAATCTCTCTCACCCCTGCAGTCTTCTTGCCCCTTTTACTGCTCTGTTACCAACCACCTCTTGTCATAATCGGTCTTTTCTTCCTTCTCGAGTATTTACACCCTTTGAGGCCCACCTTTCAGGCACAGAGGGGGAATGAATGAACAGATGAATGCATGAGGGACAGGTGGAGGGGGGAGCATGAGAAAGGGGACCTTGGGTTGAGCTTTCCTTTACAGTGGAGTCGTGTGCTGGGTGCTGTCCCTGCCTGGGTGACCCCAGCCCACCTCACCGGGAACTCTGTGCCGCCCACTTTTGACCATCTCTTTCCAAGGGAGGGAAGTGACTCACTCAGGTTGGGTGGCCCAGAGCCTACGGTGGGGAATATCGATCAAGTGATGTGGGCGTCTTTCACTCCAAACCCAACATTCTGCTCAGCGTCCTTGATGTCCCTTGACACAGGTTTTTGTCTGCCCCATCATGTGACCGTGGTTGCCCTGGAAACCTGTATCTGCCTGCCGAGCGCTCACGCCCACACCCTGAGCTGTCCAGGATGCAGAGCGCCTGGTGTATTTGTATGTGCTCAGATGCTTTCAGCTGTGAGGGACAGAACACCGTCCAGGATCTGCAGCAACAGGGTTTTACGTCTCACCTGACAAGAAATTTAGAGGTGGATGGTTGTGGGGTTGGTTAATCGATTGTGTTGCCCAGGTGTGTTCTGTCTTTCTACTCTATTGTGCCCAGTTCACTGGCTGCCATCCTCCAGCTTTTTTTCCTCATGGTGGCGAGAGGGCTGCAGCTGCTCCGGCCATCACAGACTCATGCAGTTGTATACAAAGACCGAAAGGGGGGCTTCTCCTCAACGATCCCTTTTCACCAGGGAAGAAGACCTTTCCAACTGTGGCCCTGGGAGTCTCCCTTTCGATCTCCTCAGTAAGCAGGGAGTTCCAGGCCTTTGCCATCGAGGCCGGGCAGATGGGGACGGTGAACACCTGGCATTCCTGCCAGGCTTTGTGGTGGGAGACCGGCTGCTGTCAGGGAAGAAAGGGGGAGGACAGTGCGCTGCCGGCAGCGATGCCGCACTCCTCAGAGGTGGGATCTCACGGTGGAGGCTGGATCTCTGTTCTGCACAAGGACCTGGGTGTTAGTGTCTGCGCTGGAAGACTTTCCTGGGGCTGGGTGCTTACCAAGTGGGCTTTGTCCAGTTGGTGCCGTCGGGCCGCACTGATGAAGTCCAAGCACAAAGGGACGCGGTTGCCGTGGGGGAGTTCAGGGTGGACCGGGACCGGGTGTCTGGGTCCAGGTGCTCAAGGAGCGTCCTTAGCTCCTGTCTGTTGTCTTTCCTCTGGGCCTGCGTCGCCTCCTGCAGGCTCTTCCTCCTGGTGGCAGGTCAGCCTCCGGGGCCCCAGGGCCCCTACTTCAGGGAGAAAGCCGCTCCTCCCCACCAAGCACAAGGCCTGGGTGCTGTCCCTGGCTCTGTTTGGCGCAACTTGGACCACGGACCCACCAGAACCAATCTCTGTAGCCAGCCCTGGACGGGGGGCTGCAGGGTCCCATCTGTGTGACATGGGCTTAGAGTGTGGGAGAGGGTTCTCGGGGATGGGTGCTGGGAGGCAGGACGGGGTGGCTGGGCAGTGCCCCCAGCTTTCTGCTGTGCCACAGGATGCTCTGACTTATGCCCTCAGAAATCACGGTCAGGGTCCACAATGGTGGTACAGGAAAGGGATTTTGTTGAAAAAATTGGGCTGACCAAGTGGTAATATTTGAAATTCAAGGGAAAACACCAGCCATGGTTATCACTCCTGGTTTTGTGAGAGTCCGTCTGCATTCTCTTTAGAAGAGATGAGAAGGTTACAGGAGAAGGTTTGTGGTTACGCAAGCGGTTACATAAGTCCCAGCCAGCTCCAGCCGGGCTGTGTCTGCCCCGTCGCTGCCCCCCTCGGCTGTGAGGGGGCGCACGGCTTTGCGCGCAGCCTCTGCCCCAAGAAAACCCGCTTCCTGATTTAAATAAATACTGGCTTTTTATACTTCTTCGTTGAATTGTGATATCAAATGAGGTGTGAAATACAGGCTCATGGACCGTGTTTGCCGGCTCACAAAGTGAATATGTGAATATATCCCTAACAAAACGTCCCACGGAAGCTGTAATCTCCGGATTGTGACAACCTTGGGTGGAATAGGGTTTTTAATAGAATATAATGTACACACTGCCTGAAAGTCTGTGATAAGAATTAAAAACGTGTTGTACGGGAAGGCCCGACGCGCTCCGCCAGCGAGGCTGTGAAGGTCTTAATTTAAAATATTTTAATGAACACTCATTGTGAGGAATAGAGATGAAAACCACCAGATAAAGACTGATGTTGCCTAAAAAGGAGGGAAGAGATTAGAAAAATAAGCAGATGTGAGTAGTCCTGACAGATAACAGGGGACCACAGGGGATGGGAGCGAGGTGACGGGCTGTTGCACGGAGACCCCGTTGGCGGAGTGCGTGGGGCGAGGCTGTGCCCGGAGGGTTTCTGCCAGCTGGGAGCTTGCTCCACCTGGAACAGAGGTGGACGGATGCTCAGAGGTACTCAGGGAGGGAGGAGTTTGTGTTTCTCAGTCGATGGGAAGGCTAAACCCGAAAACAGATTTCTTTGCAGACACAGAACAGTTGGCATTCTTGCAACCCAACTCCAGGTGAAATCAAGGCGTCTCGGAGGAGGTGACATTGGGTCTGGTCCTGAATGGCTGAGTAGGTGTTCAAAAGTGCTTAAAAAAATAAACATCTCTGGGGACGGTGTATATAACCTACAATCAATATTTATGTGATATTGACTTGGAATTGCATTAGTCTTCCAGAATGCTCCTCAGTGCAAAAATTGGGCCGTGGTTGGAGAGTCTTAGCGTAGAAAGCACCAGCGGAGGGTAGACCTGGATGGGACCACCCAGAGTCTAGGAGAGGTGCCAGTGTGGGAGGGGTTGTTTTATTGGGAGCAGACCCTACTAAGTGCAACAATGACTGAGCACCTACCCTACTGTGTGCCGGGTCCTGTGCTCTATATTATCCTTCTTTACTTTAAAAACTGTTTTTTTCCTTTATTGATTTTTAGAGAGAGAGAAACATCGATGAGAGAGAACATCGACTGGCCGCCTCCTGCATGCCCCCCACTGGGGATCGGGCTCCCCAACCTGGGCATGTGACCTGGCCTGGAATCAAACCGGCGACCTCTTGGTGCAGGGTCGACACTCAACCACTGAGCCACACTGGCCGGGCTATATTAT